ATTGTAAATGTTATAGATTTGGATATTTCTTCACTCGAAAATGATAATTAAAAGATGCGATCAATTGTGAATTGTAAGCAATGTTAATAAAGTTTGTCTAAAAGAAACAATATGATTTCACTAAAAATCAATTTCTACCCCTTCCTATTTTCATTTCCATATTACGAAGTTTCACTTCTTACACGCGGAGGGACTCCACGCACTATTTTCTTTTCCATGCGATTTTGTTCTTTTATGAACTATATTATTACAATTACGATTTATTACAAAACTCATTTTAAAAAGAAATGGACTGAACCCACTTTCTTCAAAAGCGACTTATTTATAATGTTGACTGTTGCACTGCAATTATAATTATTATTTTAAGGACTCTGACCTATGATCCGTCTACCACTGATGATATTTTACGTCAGCACTGTGGTCGCTGCGAGCTGGGTGCAGAATTCGTATTAACCAGCCATCGCTGGTATTCGAACCCGGTTCACCTCGTTGGAAGGCGAACGCTCAATGCCCTGAGCTACCACAGCTCTGTGTCTCATATTTTTTATAGCTTAAAATATAGTCAAAAGTCACGCATTGTAATATCAGGATTTAGGTGAGACACTCTATCACTCAGATGTTTTTTTGCGCAATAAATTAAGATTGTCAATATTAGAGCTTCCCTACTTTTTTCGGCTACGGCCGGCTCCCCTTCTTTTGGCGGAATCCCGACTTTATAAATAAAGTATATAAAGACAATTGTGAACGTATTAATCAATAAAAGACTTTATTTTGGAAATATCTATTAAGAGGAATGAAATTTTTTATCACTTTATCCATAATAATTTTAGATTAGGTTTTATGTTATACAGTTAAATTCGCAGTTCTGGAGCTGAGCCTAGTCTAGTTATTAATTTGTATTTGGTGCATGCTAAAAAAAGAATAAAATAAGCTGAATTGTGCTGTTTTCTTTGGAATAAAAATGAAAAAGAACTGCAATAAACATTGTTATTAGGGAAACATATTTCTTTATTAACGAATTCAGTAATTTGATTTTGATATAAAAAGCGCGGTAAGGTATACTAATGTTTTTTTTTTTTTTGCAATTGCATATTTATTCTGTAGTTGATTCTATTCAATAAATTTTATTACAAAAATTAATATTAAAAAAAAAAATCCCGTTTTTCTTTTGCTGGCATTTTAGTTTCATATAGGCAACCGAGACATTGGATAAATATCGAAATGTAATTAAAGGTTTCAAAAACATTTATTAATGGTTGCTGGTTAAAAAAAATAATCCTAATTTTGGGACCCTATTTGGGAATCGCTGGTCTATATTGCTGGTCTTATTAGCATGGTGAATCTTATGAGCAGGAATTTCTCACCTTCTGTTTCAATATATTCCACAATGATCAATTTGTGGATGCCACTAAGTAATGTAATGTATCAGTTACTGATAAAATTCGGAAATCGTTAATGTGTTCATTATCTTGTTAATCTACAGAATAATTAGGGTGATCCGTTGAAGTAGGCAATCAAAGTTCTTCCGCAATTTACCTAGAAATGAACAGATTAACGGTTTCCATTTCGTTAAAGTTTCTTCGATTGTCAACTAATCTATTATTGACTAATGTTAATATTGAATATATTAACTTAATTCTTTAGATACGGAAAGTATAACTAACATGTTAATTTCCTTAATTACAATAACATTTTAAACTGTTTGACTCTTTGTATTATAACTTTTTAAATAATTGAGGATTGGTTCGATCAACTAGTGTTTGATTAATTGATTGATTAATTGTTTAATTAATTTACAGAATTGATTCTTTAAATATCAAGAAATAAATGACAATAATTTAAGATGATAAATAAGAGAAATAATTTAAGAAAAGTTGCTATTGCTTCATCAGCGATAATATTTTCACTTTAACTATTACCTAAAGATAATTTACAGATTAACTAAGCAATTAGTGAAATAGAAAAAGATTAAAAAAATAACTCTGATTATTAAACTTATTTCTCAGAAAATAATGAATTAGCGACTGCCGTGTAGGATTTTAGTTAACCTTTGATGAGGTTTTTAAACTATATATTACGAAACACTGCATGCATTCAGTTTTATTCCTTATGCATATGTTTAAATCTGTGTTTTAATTATTAAAAAAAAAGTTATTTGTAAGTAATTAGTGTCAGACTATGGATTTCAATGAACAAGGTTCGAGTAAGAGTCAGAGATCACGAGTTCGAAAAACCTCTGAAAGAGGGAGTTCGAACATTTAAAAATAATTCAAAGACAGAATTTGCATAGTATTAATTTTGAGTGTGTAAGTACCCTCATTATGCAAGTGTTATTTTGTATATATATAACAAATCAAGATTGGATTTAAAGTTCTGTTTCTTTTGATTTCATGACTGTATGTATTGAATTCATGTTATGGAGAGGATTGTTTTTCCTTTATGATGTTTCAGTTAAGTTATGATTTTTCTTGCTTAATAAAATTTATGATTAGTTAAAAGATGACTTTTTCATTATGCTTGCTGGGCATTTTCCACAACGCACTAAACTCTGCCAGCAATTAGTATGATCCGTAAACTTATATATGATTGTGTCTACGCTCATAATATATATTTTCAAATTTCTTTTCGAAAAATGAGATAGTAAAAATCTAAAAAATAGGGATCTCAAATTAATATTTTATAGAGATAAAAAAGAACAAATAAAAACGTGAGCAAAATCTGACGATTATTATCGAGTTTAATCACGGTGAATGTGGAAAAATTATTTTCGATGTCGGATGAAAAGGGGTAGTCATTCCTAACCTAACCTAACTCAACGGCCTCTCAATTTCCTCAGACATACATAAGTGTTTTAAATTTACCCTCACTGTGACTGACTACGATAATGAATCGCCATATTTTGGCAATGCTTTTTTCTCACTTAAATATTAATTCCAGACACATAGTGTTAAAATTTTCCACATTTTTTTGATTGGAATCTAAAAAAGTTACTGCTCGGAGTATCTCTGATTACGCAAAAACGTCGTGCTTAGCTCAGATATAGCGATATCATTAATTAAATAAAGTTATTTTTTGATTACCTCAAATTTTTCGATATCTCTATTTTAAATGCAGTCTGTGAAAGAAGTTTTTTTCATTATTTAATACGAGGGTTGTAAATTAAATAGTGGCAACTTAACCTTGAAATTCACAGAAGGGCGGTCACGCGCAAATAGGATATGGGACGGTGATGTGGCGCTGTTGTCTATGTGTAGAGTGCAAAAAACAGTCGATCTGCTTATAAGGGTAGTTGTTGTGTGGCGTTAAAGTGAGGAGTTTCGTTTCCATCGCTCTAAAGCATGTTTTCAAAAGGTTTAATGACGAAAAAAGACGAGATGCTTGAACCCATCGTGCTACTATACGGTAGAGCATTTGCTCCACAGGCTTCCACTAATCCTTGAGAGCATTCTGTTGCATTTTTGATACGGGCAACCTCGACTTTAAGCCACGACCGCTGATCACCTTTTGAAAACATGCTTTAGAGAGCGATGGAAACGAAACTCCTCACTATAACGCCACATAACAACTACTCTTCTAAGCAGATCGACTGTTTTTTACACTCTACACATAGACAATAGTGCCACATTACCGCTCCCACATCCTATTTGCGCGTACCCGCCCTTCTGTGAGTTTCAAGGTTAAGTTGCCACTATTTAATTTACAACCCTCGTACATTGTTTTAGTGTTTTATTGTGGTTCTTTTTATATACAGAACTGGGCTTTCTTGGCGAGATTTTGTTTCTTATCTGAATTTGGAAGGTTTGAGTATACCATAGATTATCCAAAAGTAAGTAAACTTTTTAAATAATGTTTAGTGATATTGTTATTTTCTTTAAAATGTAAGGTTATTCACCCGAGAAATATTGTAAATTTGAAATAGTAGCAAAAATAAACTAATTTAATGCTTATCCACATTGAACTCACTATTTTATCTCTTTTTTCTTCTTCCCATAACACATTTTCGAGATGTTCTTAAAAAGGAAGCCATCTTTTAAAAAAGGAGTTGATAATTTGGAAAAATAGATTTGTTGTAAATTTTAATCCTTTTTTGATGATACTCTTTTTATGGAAAGAGAAATGAAGCCGTAAATAAAATTTGATTATTTTTTAGAGTTCTGAATCGATTTTCTTTTTATCATATAACTTTGGCTTAACAAATTAAAAGCTTATTAACAGTTTCATGCAAGGAGACTTACTAATACTATCGAAATTATATTCCTTATACTAAGCCTATTTGACAAACTTTTTAAGATACAGGGAAATGTAAAGTTGTTTTAAAGTTAAAGTTGTAGTGATAGAGTAAAATACTTCTCTTTCTTAAGGTGATCCCAAAATGAATCTAAAAGAATAAAGTAAAAGTACTTAAGTTTTTTTTCTTATGTTTAAGATGCTGAAATTTTTGAGACAAACTTTGTTTAAAGTTTTTTTCACCCCGGCAAGGTGGTGCAACTTCGGATAGGATGATCAGTTTTTCATTGTCCTACAAAAGAAAAAAAAACGCATGAAGTGCAGACAGTTATTTGATTTCTAATAGATATTTTGGTATAATCAATTCCATATTACTCTTCACAACACCAGCAGTTAACGAAGAACATTTATTTTTGTGCTTGAAATCTGAATTAAATCATCCTAATAATTTAATCTTTTTGCTGATGATGAATTTATTTGCAGGCTTTTAAAACGCAAAACATTTTATTGTACTTCGATGAAAAAAATCAGTGGCCTGCAGTGTATCAAAAGAATAAGGTAAATATACATTCTAAATCTCTCATTCCTATGTTGTACACTATTTAATGAGATACCTCTCAACTGGATTGAATATTGCAAGTCTTTTTATTCAAACAGTAAAAAAGGACTAGCTAGAGAATTTAGTCGCTCATTTTGTCAGCGTATTAATACACAGTTCTACACAGCTCAATAGTTTTTTCTCCTTGCAACTAATGGGTGTCCCTAAATTCACGCAAGGCTAGAATTTTTTTTACCATTTTGAAATAAAATGCTGCCAATATAAACAAACAGAGGTAGCAGGCAGTTTAGAGTCATGAAAAACGGATCGCTTATTGAAAAGGCAATCTGATTGTTGGCTCATTCCCTGTTCGTGAAAGGCCCTGGTCTGCTGATCAGAATCAGTGATCACACAAATCATGCGAGTTTACTCCGTCTAAAATTTATGGCTTCAAGTTCACAAACATCAACAACCAGCCGCAACAATACAAAACGGTTATTGAAAATTTTAACAAAAGAGTGCACATGTGACAGCAAAATCGTGGAGGCCATTTACCATACATACTTTACTATATATTTTCTAAATCCGTTTAAAAAAAAAGTCACAATTTTTAATTAAAATCTAATGTTTCTATCAAAATAATTTTTTAAGAGAATTTTGGGACATCATGTACTATTTATTAAAAGTAATCTTTTGTGTTATTTCTAAGGATGAGATATTTGTTTTATAAAAACATCTCTATTAATTCCACTAATTTTTTTTTATTCTCCAGACATGTAGAGAGAAAGAATCCGTATTAATTATTGAAAATGGTCAGGTGATCTACTTGAATGAATCCACCTTTCGTTCTGGATGCATTGACCACCCCGAAGAGGGCAAAAAAGACTGGCTGCGATGCCACAACGAAAGGACATTCGAGTCCAGAAGGGAAAGATATTGGTTCATAGCCATCAGCAATTGTGATGCGAAAAATGTGAGATTTATTTATTTATACATAATATTTGTTTAAGATCCTGATGATTAAGGAAATGTTCATAGCATGTTTCACCTCTAATATATATATA